CCCTCATCATCTCACACCTGGATTACTGAATAGTCTGTTGGCTGGTGACCCCAGTTCCAGTCTCTCCCCACTCCAGTCCATCCTTCATTCAGCTGTCAAATGGATTTTCCTAAAGCACTTTGTCACTTCTCTAGTCAGTAGACAGTAATGTCTACTGGGCCAGGTATCATGCTAAGTGCTGGGATACAAAGGTCCAAACCACCCATTGCTCCCAAGAAGCATTCAAATAACTGTGTATACAGCAAGCTACATAGATGAGTAATCAGAGATAATCATGGAGGGAGGGCACTAAGGTCAAGGAGGACTGGGAAAGGTAAACTTTTTGAGACTGGAAGGAAGTCAGGAGGCAGAGATGAGGAGGAAGAGAGTTCCAGGCGGGGGGGCCATCAGTAAAAATTTGGAGTCAGAAGACAGAGAGTTGGGTTTGAGAAGCAAGGGGATCAGTGTCACTGGATTGCAGAGTACTGTGGGGTGAAAGGGGAGGGTTGGTGTGAGGTGACCAGACAGTGAGGGGCCTTAAAAAGCCAAAAAGAGGAGTCTTTATTTGATCCTGGGGGCAAGAGAGAGCCATGTGAATTTACTAAATAGAGTTGCTGATATGGTCAGACTTGTACTTTAGGAAGGTAAATTTGACAGCTGAGTGGACAGTGGACTGTGGTGGGGAAGGGACTTGACGCAAGCAGACCAACCACCAGGCTACTGAGTCAATACGGGAATGACGTGATGAGGGCCCACACCAGGTGGTGAGTATGGTCAGAGGAGAAAAGGGGGACATGTGGGAGAAATACTATGAAGTCAATACCAACAGGCATTGGCGAGAGACTGGATACGGGGAGTGCATGCAAGTGAGGAGTCATGGAAGACACTGGGATTGGGAGCCTAGGAGACTGGGAGCATGGTGGTGCCCTCAGCCATAATAGGGAAATTAGGAAGAAAGATAAAGAGGTCAGTTTTGGACAGGTTGAGTTTAACATGTCTATGGGACATCTGTTTCATGAAATTCAATAGGTTGTTGGTGATGTGAGAGCAGAGGTCAGGAGAAAGGTTAGGGCCAGATAAAGAGATCTGAAAATCAGCACAGAGAGAATTGAATCCATGGGAGCTGATGAGATCACCAAGCGAAATAGTACTGATGGACAGAGAGCCCTGTGGGACCCCCATGGTTAGCGACATGATCTGGATGAAGATCCAGCAAAGGAGACTTGGTTATCAGACAGGCAGGAGGAGAAGCAGGACAGACTAGTGTCTCAAAAACCTAGACACAAGATAGTATCAAGGAGAAGAGGGTAATCAACAGCGCCCAAACCTACAGAGAAGTCAAGGACCAGAATTCGATTTGGCGATTAAGAGATGATTGGGAACTTTGCAGAGAGCAGTAGAAGCCAGATTGTAAGGGGTTACGAGGAGGGTATGAAGAAAGAAAGTGGAGGTACCTGTTTCGGGTGGAGAGAAGGAGGACACATCTAGGATGCTAGCTAGCAGGGATGGAAGGTCCGACCTCTCAGTTCTTAACTCAGAGCAGACTCAGTTCTCTCTGAACCACGATCTCTCTAGCTTTTCCATTTTGAAACTCATTCCCTTTGACCCAACTGTAGTAGTACCAACTGGAATCACCCAAGCACCTCAGAAAGTCACATTTCTTTTATACATACTCTAGAGGGAAGCTTCAACACCTCAGAAGATAGTTACTCATACTCAAAATCTCACAGTTGTTGTAAGGAGAAAACAGGATAATATGCGTGACTTTCCAACCGGAATGGTTGCCCCCGCCCCTTTACCTACACAGATTTCCAAAAAGAGCCATAATCAAAATCATTTTTGGTAAAATTTAAATAGGGCATAGGGGCAGCTAGATGGCACAGTGGACAAGGCACCAATCCTGGAGTCTGGAGGACCTGAGTTCAAACCTGGTCTCAGACACATAACACTTACTAGCTGTATGACCCGGGGCAAGTCACTTAACCCCATTGCCCAACCACAATTAAAAAAAAAAACAAAAAAACCAACAACAACAAAAGTGTCCTCTTTGATCCAGTGACACTGGCCTCCTGACTGTTGCACAAACAAGACACTCATCTCTCAGCTCTGGGCTTCTCTTTGGCCATCCCCATGCCTGAAATGCCTTCCTTCCTCCACTCCAGCTACTGACCTCCCTGGCTTTCTTTAAGTCTCAGCTAAAATCCCATCTTCCACGGGAAGCCTTCCCTCTGTAAATTCTTTCCTATTTATCCTGTTTATAGCTTGCTTTCTAGATATCTGTTTGCATGTTATCTCCCCCATTAGATTGTAAGTTCCCTGAGGGCGGGGACTGTCTTTTGCCTCTTTTTGTACTCCTAATGAGATACCTACTGGTGCATAGCAGGCACTTAATAAATATTTATTGAGTGAATAAGAGAATTATAAAGTGAAATTGCCCACTACCAATAATGGCTCTCAGTGACAGCTGATCCTCTGAGAATAAATTAAAACACCTGTATCTGTTTACCAAAAAAAAGCTATAGTTTATTTCATGTTCCTCCAACACCACTTTTAAAACCATTAGAAAAAAGTGTCTTAGTATAATAAAAGTATATCAGAAATCGTAGTTTCTGGGGCAGCTAGGTGGTACAGTGGATTAAGCACCAGTCCTGGAGTCAGGAGGACCTGAGTTCAAATCTGACCTCAGACACTTGACACTAGCTGTGCGACCCTGGGCAAGTCACTTAGCCCCACTGCCTCACAAAAAAAAAAAAAAATCTATGTAAAAAAAAGGGGGGGGGAGCTGGGTGGTACGACTAAGTGGACAGAATCTTGGAGTCAAGAGGACGTGAGTTCTAATCTGGCTTCAGACACTTGACACTTACTAGCTGTGTGACTCTGGGCAAGTCACTTAACCCCAGCTGCCTCACCAAAGAAAAGAAAAATAAAAGGGGTCCATATTCCAACTGATCACAGAGAGCTATTTGTTCACCTTTTTAATAGACTAAAACACCTCAACATTTTTTCATAAATTATTCAAAACAGCAACTCAAGACAAAGAACACATTTTCATGGACAAATGAACGCCCAAACATATGAAGACCAAGGAATTTTCCCGTCTTCAACCAAAGAGATTCTTACTTTGTCAACATCAAGTGAATTAGATCCTTCTGGGCAAACTAAATTCAGCTGCGATTCAGTTGGCTTGAAGTGCACATCCTTACTCTTAAAAATATCTTCACTCAGTTTATCCATATTAATGGAGGCTAATATGGAAATGTGAAGTCCACAATGTTAATTCACAGTTCACACACCTCATTTTGACCCAGAGTTTCAAATTCCTATCTCATCAAAAACTTTACCAAAGTGACTATTAAGCAGAGTGATTTAAACTGTTCGCATACAAGAGACAGATGGTGCAGAGAAACACAAACTTCAGGTAGTAAAAAATAATAATTTATATGTGACTTTGGACTGTGCCTTTGTACTTGAGAACCGGACATGAAATTTAAAACATGTCAAACTAGACAGTGGAGTCAAGCTCTGATGAGGTTATTCAAGGCTGGGAAAGCTGTTCAGCCCTTCTGGTTTGTTTCACTTTTGTCCTCGAACACCCAATGCCCAGCACAATGCCTCGCACATTAATATGCACTTAATAAATGATTGATCCTGCCTCCCCTGCTCTGATTCTTCCTTCACTCATGACACATAATCAGGGAGGCAGGAATCCCTTCTCATCATCAATGACACTATCGGAGCTCTAACCCAAAGTTTCTTTCTACAAGGTTACCCTTGCTTCATACCTCAAGAAGTCTGGATGTCTAAAAGGCCTCTCCTTGACTAGAACAGTAAATTAACAGAAAAGTGGCCAAGTAAAATGTTACATCAATTTAGGAGCTGAAGATAGCAGTTTCACTTCTGATCACTGCACACCTAAACACTGGAAGTGTTGAAAGCAAAATAATGTCCTGAAGGCAAACTGTAGGATGGATGATGGCATCCCGAGTTAATAAATCCCTTTAAGAAAATAAAAAGGGCAGTATAAGCCTCAGATTTAAAAATTGTGTCTAACCTTGGTTCTTTATAAACTAGGAACTTTTATTTTCATGCTGGCTATAGTCTCATAGAAAGAAACAAGACAAATTAAAATAGACCAAGTTTTTTTTTAATACCGAAAATATAATTTTCAATGCTGCAATGCTTCTCAAATAATTTAGTTTGGGAAACATTTCTCATTCTTCATCCAAAAGATTACTTTAGAAAATTAAAAAAAAAGTTTATTCAACAGTTATCAAAACCACATAAACATAGTGACCAGCTAACTACAATGAACTTTCATTCCCCAACCAAAACACAGAAATTTAATTGAGCTCAGCTCATTTAAAATTTAAAAACAAAACCAACCCTTTTCAAGCTTCATAGATGAGAGGTATGTCGTTCAACGACATTTACATGTGGTTAAGTTGGGAAAGATGGAAAGTGATTTGAAGACTGTAGTGCTAAGAAATACTTCATTTTCCTAACTGATAGACATAAGGAGGAAGAGTGCTACAGATATTGTGGTCAAACTGTATATACTTTCAAATTCACACAGTAATGTAAATATTGCTGGTCTTAGGTTCAGGGACATTTCCACTGTGTTTACTTTAAATGATTAAACATTAATTAAAAAAAAAAGGGGAGGAGAACAACCCTCTTGGTTCTCTTCTATTTATGAAATGAAAAAACTGCATCAAGAGAATGAGCATGTACATACATGTATAAGGGAATTCACTGGGATTTCTCATCAAGTCAGAATGAGAAGTACCAATATGCATCCGGCAAATGCAGTGACTCAAAAACTGTAGATACCTCTCCATTTCATTCAGGCACCTATCTATTTCTTGAGATGTCTAAGCATTAAATTGCATAATTCCAAAACCTAATTATCCAAATGCTCTAGAACTGTGGTTAAACAGTCAAACAAAGGCTAATGATACACTCTTCCACTGGTGGGTTTGTTTGTTTTTCTTAAAACAACAACAAAACTCTAAAAACTCAAATTGGTGGATGAAATAAAAATCCTATATTTACCAGGCCAGTTTTGGTGTACTCACACTGCACATAATCTTCAAATGTCAGTAATTTATGCATTAACATAAGCCATTTCTCATACGGCTGATTTTTCACTTCTTGAATCCTAAGTTTGGAACTTACAGCCTCTGGGGCTCTCTCACCATACAAAGAATTCATCCAAAAAGGAGGGAAAAAGAGATTGGGTTGGGCTTAGAAAATGAATTCAGTCCATAAGGCATCTACTAATATGAAAAGTGGTTTTGGGCCCACCACCGGTCTCAGTGTATGAGACAAGATAATGAAACAGCTTTTCTGGAATGGTCTCAGTTGACATTCAAATAACTTTTTAACAAAATACAGTCTTCAGGAGGCTGTTTTTTTTTTTGTTTTAAACACCGCTGTGCAGGTGTCCAGTCTACTTTTCAAACCTCCAAATCTGATTTTTATCGAGGGGGTCACAAGTTCTCATTTGCACATCAGGCCGCCCCTCTGATGTACGGTAGGCACTCAGACACATGCCAGACTGGGGATGATAAATTGTTCCATCTTCTTTAAAGTGCCAGATAATCTCTTCAGGAACAGAGGACCCCTGCTTAGGGCAGTACTGCATGCCAACATAATTGCTCTGCTTGGGGACCATCACACATAATTCCGTCTGGACACTAAAGCGTAACTCTTTCTTTAAGGTATACTCGAAAAACTGATTGCCTCCTTGTCCGTGGCATCCAAACAGAGACAGATGAGCTCCTGTGGGATCACGATCTGGAGATTTGTAATCGAGACATTCGGAAGAGATTCCTGCACTTCGAATGGCCCCATGCCAGCCAGGTCGATCCTCTGGCACACGCAACGCAGGAAATACATTTTTCAAATACCAGTCAAAACTCTTGCAATTCAACCGTTTTCTCAATAATTTTCGTTCAGACACATCACCATAATTTTCCTTCCTTGCTAAAGGGTTTCGATTATAGAAGTGCTCTTTATATTCATCCATCCACACCTCCGCTGCCCGGACTGTGTTCTGTCGGAAATTGGGCCTGGCGTAGGGGGCTCGCTTTGGGAAAACGTGCCCTACGTGGGAACAGGGGTGAATCTCCAGGGCCCCTCCACACTGCCAAACTCTGAATGACAACTCCAAGTTCTCACCACCCCATACTTCCATCCCTGTGTCATAAGTACCAAGGTACTCAAAATACTTTTTACTGACTGCAAATAGCCCTCCTGCCATGACGGGGGATCTGATGGGGTCAATTCTGGATTTCCACCTTCTCCTTTCATGCTCAGGGACTGCCTGCCACTGGAACGTTAAGTGCCAATCAAATCCCCCAATCACTGGCTCCCCTTCCTGCATGTAAAAGTCAAACGTATTCCAATCAATTGTGTCTATGACAGGACAAATGATCACGGATTCGTCCTGACTAATCCTCTCCAAGAGAGGTTCCAACCACCCTGAGTTACACTCACAGTGGCAGTCCAGGAACGTGAGCACTTCCCCAGTGGCAAAAGTCGCTCCAATGAGGCGGGCTCTGACCAGCCCCTCCCGCTTCTTGGTCCTGATTAAACGGACTCTTCGCAGACTGCTGATGTAGGTTTCCAGCTGAGCCTTCAAGTACACTTTATCACTTAAGTCGTCGACCAGGATAATCTCCTTCAGGAGGACGGCAGGGGAAGTCTCGAGGACACTGTGGACGGTCCGCAGCAAGGTGGACCAGGCTTCGTTGTAGAAAGCGATGATGACCGAGGTGGTGGGCAGCCTGCGGTACTCGTAGGTCTTCAGCCGGCACTCGTACATGCGATCATCCCGGATGTGCCGGTGCAGGGAGATTCTGTCACTCAGGTAAATGTTAATGGCATACCTTTCGGTGAGCTCTTCCGCCTGCTTCTCCTCCTCCCCCTGGAGCTGGAGGTGGCTCGCCTCTCCCCACTCCCCCAGGGCCCCCGGGTCCGGCGGGGGCTTCGCGTACAGGGGCTGGGCCAAGTCTTCCGCTCTCCCCCGGGGGCCAGGTACGCCTCTCTCCCACCTGCGGGCGGTGACGACGTCTCCGGCAGGGGCGCGCAGCGAGGCCACGGACAGCTCCACGACCGCATAGGCCACCACGAGGGCGCCCAGCAGCAGGCAGCCCCGGCCGAGCCAAGCCCACCTGGCTGGGACGCGCACCTTCATGGCCAGCGGCGCGCGCGCGCGCGCCCGCCCGCCCGGGCTGCCCAAAGTCCAGCCCGCCACCCGAAAAGTTTGTGCAACTGCTGGGAGGGGCTGGGGGCCGCCCCACGCGCGGCGGGAGCCCCAAGCCCAAACTCCCGGGGGCTCACTACTTCCTCCTGCGCGCCTGGCAACTTCGGGTCACACTCACTCACACACGCACACTTGCACACACGCAGGCGCGCACAGGACACAGAAACCCGCCTTCTTCCCGAGCCTGACCCCTCCCTGAGCCCTCCCCCGGCCCTCCCCGGGCGGGGTCCCTGGTCTGAGCTCCAGCTGCGACTCCAGCTGTGCGGGGAGGGGAGGGAGCGCACCCCCCACCTCCTTCCCCCCCACAGAAAGGCTGGCTCCATCCCGAAGTCACTCCCACCCCCCTCTACAGCCCGGGAGGGGGAGGAGCTTTTCCCAGCCTGGACCCCGAGGAAATACCCCTCCCTGCCCCCCACCCCACTCCCAGGCTCCCATTGTCGGTCCAACCCTCGGCCGGAAATCTCCCGCCTGGGTCAAGTTCAAGTTCCTAGATCTCACACCGGCAGTTCTTAAAGGGTCACAGCTTTAGAGCTGGAAAGGCTTTGAGGTCAAGTCCAAACCCATCATTTTGCAGATGAGGACACTGAGGCACAGAGGCTTGCTAAGGTCAGAGCAAGTGTGCCACAAAACCTAGCTCAGAGCTGGAAGGGGCTCTGCCGTCAAATGCAACCCTCCTGTTTTCCAGATGAGGAAACTGAGGCACAGAGAGGGCGGGAGCCTTGCTCTGGGTCACACTGCTAGTGAGTGTCCCGGGCCAGATTTTAACCCCGCCCCTTTCTGATTCCAAGTCCCCGGCTCCGTCCTTTACACTAAGCTACCTCTCCATTTGTACAGAAGCTAAAAAAAAATAAAATAAAACAAAAACCGGGGTGGGGTGCATGACACTCACCAAGTCGTTTGCCATTGGGGCTGAAATCCACACTGGTCACTGCAGCTTTATGGCCTTTGAAATAACGCTCCAAAATTGGATCCTCCTGGAAGGAGAGGTCACCAAGGTTTTCAAAGGGGGCCCGATTTCATCCAGGAAATGAAATTTACTTTTCAATCACCCACCCAAGCCATTTAATAAACTGCCAACAAACGGGGGAGCCCCTCCCCCCTGCAGTTTACAAAGCAGCCTCAGTAAAATGAACTAGCAGCTTCCACACTCCAGGCCTTCTCACAAGAAAGCTCCCCCTGGAAAAACTGGAGGCAAGGCGGGGATCCAGCTGAGTAAATACCCTTTTACCTTCCCCCTAGGTGGAGGGGCTATAGGACCCTGGGCTTTGGAATGAGGAAGTTCTGAGTTCAAATCCAGCCTGACCTGGGATAACTGACTTCTCTCAGTGCCTTGGCTTCTTTATCTGTAAAATGAAGCAGTTGGACTAGAGGACTTCCAAAATCTTTTAGCTCTGGGGCTAATTAACAGGAGCACCACAGAGTTGGAAGAAGTCTAAAGGCCCTTTTGATCACACCTTTAGTTTTGTGGTTGTTTAGTCATTTTTTTTTCAGTTGTGTCTGACTCTTTGTGACCCTTTTCAAGGTTTTCTCGGCAAAGATGCTGGAGTGGTTTGCCATTTCCTTCTCCAGCTCATTTTTTTTTATAGACGAGGAAACTGAGGCAAACGGGGTTAAGTGACTTGTCCAGGGTCACACAGTGTCTGAGGCTGGATTTGAACCCAGGTCTTACAGACGCCAGGCTCAGATCTCTATAGCTGCCCCACCTTTACACAGGCCTAGGGAGGTGCCTTAACTAGCCTAAAGTCACACAGGTAGATAAGATTTGAACTTAAATCTTCTAAGTCTTAAAAAAAACAAACAACACCCGCCCCCAACAACTCTTTTTTCCTTTTACAACCGAATCTTAAGGGCTAAGGACTCCAAATTCGAGGGACAGAACAAATCCCTTCCCCTCCTGGGACTCAGTCTCCCTCCTATGTAAATAACTCACAAAACAAGCATTTCCTCCCAAATAAGCCTCAGATAAGTAGTACAAATCGAGGGGGTTCAACCAGACCAGCAGTTTCTAACCCATTTTACAGCATGGCCCCTCTCTGGCAGAATCTGGCAATGTCCCTGCATCCCTCCTCAGAACTATTTTTTAAAATAATTCAATGAAAGGCAGGCAGAAGTTAGTGAAAATGAAGATGTAAATTTTTTTTTTCTATCCTTGTTCAAAGATCCCTTGAAATCCATCCACAGAGCCCTTGAGAGTCCATGGACCATAGGCAGGTTAAGAACCCCTGGACTAAGTGATAGCCAAGCTCCCCTGAAGCTCTAAGTCCTGTGGTCCTGAGTTTCCTCCTAGCTTCAGTCTGGGATCGTATTAAGCCAGAGGATGCTTCTGAGGCTGAGGCAACCTCCTCTAGGGGACAGGGCTTGGAGAGGGTATAGCTGCTGTCCATGGCTGGTTAGAGTTGGGAATACAGATATAATGAATAACCGAAGACCTATTTTTTGATCATTCAACAAGCATTTATTAAACACTTACTATCTGTGTCAATCCTTGTGCTACAGACTGGGGATACAAAGAGAAAGTAAAAACAGTCCCTGCCCCCCAAAAGCTTACATTCTAATGAAAATGACAGCATTTTGATACATTTGACTTTCATATGAAGGAGACAGTAAGTGGAAGACTGAGTTCAAGCCTGGGCTTTGCCACCGACTCAGTAAGAAACACTGGGCAGAGCACTTCTACTCTCTAGCCTCAGTTTCCCCATCTGTAAAACAAGAGAGTTGGACTAGAACCCGAAAGTTTCCTTTCCAGCTCTAAATCATCTGGTTCTATGAGGTCCCTTGCAGCGTCAGACTATGACAAGTGACCACCAGCAGAGGATTCTGAGGCTGAAACAATGGGCAGGCCCTGGTCCTGATATCCATTCAAAGAGGTTTGTCTTAAAGGGATTTGGAATCCCAGCTCCTTGGATAAGGAACCTCCCCTCCCTTTAAGTCCCACCTAAAATCCCACCTTCTAAAGGAAGCCTTCCCCTACCTCTCTTAATTCTACCTTTCCTCTGCTAATTGCTTCCTATTTATCCCCAACAATAGCTAGTTTGTACTTGTAGTCTTCTCCCATTAGATAGTAAGTTCCTAGAGGACAGGAATTGTGCAAACAACAAGCATGTAATAAATGTGTATTCTCTTTCTCCCTTTGTAGTGTTTGTCCATAGCTGTTGGCATGTTGTCTCCCCAAGTAGGCTGTAAGCTCCTAGAGGACGGAGATTGTTTTAGGCCTTTCTTTGTATCCCCAACACTTAGCACAGTACCTGCAAACAGAAAGTGCTTAATAAATGCTCATTCCCTTTCTCCCTTTGCAGTGTTTGTCCATAGTATGTTGTCTGCTTGTTTTCTCCCCCGTTACATCGTAAGCTCCCTGGGGGCAGGGCCTGCCTTTGGCCTTTCTTCGTATCCCCCTTGCTTAGCACAGTGCAGGATACGTAGTAGGTGCTTAATAAGTGTTGCTCAACTGCCGTCCACGGTCTCCGTTTCCTTCTCTGCCAAAATCAGAGGACTGGACTGGAGGCCCCTGACATCCCTTCCGGCCTAAAGCTCATCCTGAGGATTCTGGCTCATAACGCAGAGGCCTTAGGAAAGGCCCGTGTGCCTCAGTTTCCCCCCTGTAAAACGAGGGAGATGGCCGGACTAGACGACCCCTCGGACCCCTTCTGACCTCGGACCCGGACTTTGCCGCGACTTGCGGTGTGTCCCTGCGGAAGCCGCCAGGCTGCCCGTGCTTCAGTTTCCTCCCTGGGCCAGGAGGCGGGGCGGGGCAGGGGCCTCCCGGCTCCGAGCCTCAGTTTCCCCGCCTGTCCTGGCCGGGGCGGGGCTGTTGCTCCGGAGCCCCAGGGTTCGCCCCGTCCCCGCCCCCCAGCTCCCCCCCCCCAGCCCCCCCAGGCCCCGCCCCTTCCCCCCCCGCCCGGTCGGTCCGTCCTTACCGGGGCGAAGGCCATGGGGACGCGGCCGCGCCGACGCCGGGCGGGGGGAAGGGAGGGAAGGGGAGGGCAGGGACGGGGGCGGGCACGGCGGGCGGAACCGTGCGGAGCCCGGAACCGTTTGGCGGAGGCCGCGGCGTGGGCCCGTCGCAACAACGACGCGACCCAGTCAAACCCCCCGCGCTCCAGCCCCGGCGAGGCGAGCCCCGATCGCACCCTGGCCCCATTGGCCGCCTTAGCTTCCGGTCCGTGGCGTCAGCGGCCGCCCCGAGGCCCGCGATTGGCTCGGGTTCGTCCCCTTGGCAACTTGGAGCGGCGCTAGGACCCGGCGGAAGCCCGAGCTGAGACCCAAGGGGAAGGCGGGAGGTGAAGCGGGAGTTGTTGCGATCGACGCGATCGGCGTTCGATTCTGCGTTAAAGGGAACGCGTTGGTGCGGGAGGGGCTCGAAAGCGGCCCTCGCCCTCCTCGTTACAGACTGGGAAACTGAGGCCCAGAGTGGGGAAGTCGCCAGCCTGAAGGGCCCAGGTAAATACCAGGTCCAGTGTGCAATCCCAGGTCCTCTAACTCCAAATCCAGGACTCTTCCCATTACACCACACTGTCCCTGCTACCCTTCTCCATCGCCTCCCATCCCTCCTCCATCCCTCCCCCTCCTCATCTCTCCCATCCGCCTCTTCCTCCCACCCCTCCTCCCCCTGCCGTCCATTCACCTCCTCTCCCCTCTCCCCAGCCCTCCCCCCTCTTCCCTTCTCCATCCCTCTCCCCCCTTTCCCCATCCCTCCCCCTCCTTTATCCCTCCCCCTCCTGCATCTCTCCCATCCCCCTCTTCCTCCCATCCCTCCTCCATCCCTCCCCCTCCTCATCTCTCCCATCCCCCTCTTC